GCCGTGGTCATGGTGTCTTTTCACAGCAATAGAACACTGGCTAAGACACCATCCATTTATGTTTTTAACCTAACCTATTTTGTGTGTATACATATGCGCACACACGTCCATGCATGTGCATGAGTACGTGTTCCTGTGGGTGTACATGTGAGCATGTGCTTGTAGAGACAAAAAAAAAATTTAGGTGCTATGTTTTAGAGGCTTTACCACTTAAAAACATTTGTGTGTGTGCATGATGTGCATGTAACATGTATATGTGCAGGGGCCAGAGGACAACTTTGTGGAATCATTTCCCTCTTTCCGTTTTTTTATGTAGATTCCAGGGCTTGAACGCAGGTTGCTAGGCTTATGTGGGGAGTGCCTTTACCCACTAAGACATTTCAGTAGCCTTTGTCTTGTCTTTTGAGACGGGATCTCTCATTGGCCCAAGGTACACTGATTAGCCTAGCTGGACCTGCTTGTCTTTGCCTCCCCAATTCCAGGGTGACAAGTACATGCCACCGTGTCCACCTTTTTAAAGTGGGTTCTGGGACTTGAACTTTTGCTGCCTGAACCATCTATCTAGCTCTATACCATTTCTTGAAAAGCAATAGCATCCCTAAGAGGATTTGACCTTACTTTTTCTGACCTTGAGTGTAATCTTCCTATCACTATTTTCTGGAGTATGGTAAAGTTTTTTTTAATTGATCTTAATCATACAGCCTATGATTTTATTGACTTCAATAAAATTTCTATTCTAAACTTTGCTTTCACATTTGGCATGATCAATCTTGATTGTCAACGTGTTGGGATTTAGAATCAGCATGGAAACAAGTCTCTGGGCATGTCTGTGAGGGAGTATCTAGATTAGGTGAATTGAGGTGGGAAGACCCACTATAAATGTGGGCATTAGCATTCCCTGGGCCAGGGGCCTGGACTGAATAAAATTAAGAAAGTTTTCTTTCATTCACCAGCATTCATCACACTCTACTTCCTGACTATGGATGCAATGTGACCAGGCACTTCCTGCTTTTCCCACTGTAGCTTTCTGCCATGGTGGACTGGATTCCCCAGAACTGTAAGCCAAAACAAACTCTTCTTCCTCAAGCTGCTTTTGCCAGGGTTTGTCTCAGCAACAAGGCAGATATTTTGTACAACCCAGAGCCATTATCTTTTCAATCTCTTCTTGAAAGCCAGGTCTTCCTCCCGCGTGCTGTGTCTGGCTCTTTTGGTTGTCCCTGAAGTTGCCTGTGCTTTTTTCTTGATACAGCCACATGGGACAGAGTCCTCAACACCTTGTGACTAGCACCTTGGGCAGAGAAGACCACAGCTTAGAGATGAAATGTCGTCTTACCTTCCACTGTCCCTTTAAAGCTGCCATGGAGGATCAGTTCATTTCTTCAGTTCATTTTCTGGACAAGAAATCGGGCAGGGTTTCAAATCACTCAGATAAGGTCCTTGGGTCAATAACTTAAAAACCCAGCTCCAGGTAACAGTAGTACTTTGAATGTGATTCACTATTGAGTTGTCTTTTCCTGCCTCGATTGTGACCTGTGGTAGGTGGCAGCAGCCAAGCTGGGAAGGTGAACGTCTGCATTCTTTACCTTGTGTTTTCCTCTCCCTCCATCTGGTTAGCTGCAATTTCTGACTTCTCTCTGGGGGAGCACAGGGAGAGAGAGGAGAAGACAATGGTGGAAAGTTTTCCCTTGCCCAGTGCCGTCGTGGATTTAGCGTGTACTCTATGGATTTAGAAAGCCTAAGAAGTCAACCATTGTTCTGAGCGCTATGGAGTGGGACATTTGACCACTCCAGGAACCCGCCTCCTTCCTATAGCTCAGTGTCAGAGACAACAGTTTCTTCTCCAGCTTGTCACAGACTCCTTCTCCGGGGCCTGTCCTCTAGCGGCCCCTCTCATTTCTGCTCTTCTCCCTTCATCTCTGCAGACAGGCCTGTGCGGTCCACATCTGGATCACAGAAAGGAATCCTACATCTAACAAACAGAAACCCCTAGCCAGCCCTGCCTCCGCTCTATGACTTGTGTCTCAGCAACTGCCTACCCCAGCTTTTGTTCTCGAATTTTCTCAGTTTGGGGGTGAGATACAGGTAAACTGCCCTTCAGCTATGGGAGGAAAAACAGATCACATTCTCTGAGTGGTCCTGTCATAAGCTCCCCATTCGTTTTAGCATGTCAGGCCAGTATCCCGTCACCATTCCAAGGACAGTATGAAGTCATAACACACCTTTAGTACACTACGAAAATGTTCTCTCAACCTCCATCCTCTTTCTTCTTGACTCTAGTTTCTTATATAGGCTCTAGGAGGTGGTCAGCTTAGGATAATTAGTTAATTAGTCAGCTTAGGATTATAATTAGTTTTCAACCCTTCGACTTTTTTCATAAAACTTTATTTTTATGTAATTATAGATGCATAGGTATTTGAGGGGAACTGTACAGGGGAAAGCTTATGAAAAATTTTGCCTCCAATGTCAATATCTTGCAAAACTTCAGAGCAATATCAAGACTGGAAACTTGAATTGGCTACCCAGGGATCCAGGGGGATGGTTGAAGTTTCTCCAGCTATAAATATATTCAACTGTATGAGTGTTTGCAACTTGATAAAATTTGGTCATGTGTTTTGGTTCATGTAACCACCATTGAAGTCAAGATGCATAGCTGTGCCCTCAACTGAAAGCTCTGTTGTGCCACCCCTCTGCAGCACACTCCAGCCTGGCAATCACTAGCTGCTCTACGTCGCCATCGTTTCCTTAGTCTATTGGGTTATACAGTGTACATCTTCTTTTTTTTTATGTTGTCAGCTGTATAGACAATTTGCCAGTCCTATAGGCATCAATGGTCTACTTTTGTCTCTCTGGGTTCTGCAGGTCTGTATTTTTATTTAAAGGTTTCAGAAGCTTGGCTAGTCTGAACAGGAGGGACAGCCAGCTGGTGGTCTCCTCAACCCCTCTGTAGGCTAGAGCGAGGCTGACATTGGCTCCTGCCTGTCCCCTGGCTCTGCAGCTGTTGCAACAACTGGTCTCATCATAGTTGATGGCTCCACAGTTCCACCCATGAATTCATCTGAAATTCTTTGGTGGATCACATCCTGTCTAGATGATTTATTGATATCTATTTTGTCAGACAAGAGCATCCAGTGCATTTACCACGATTTTATTGAATGCTCCAACCTTTCCCTGCAAGGGCACACATCTTCCTAGGGAAAGGGCAAAACATTCAAACAATGTCTCTTCTATTTCTTTCTTCATTCAACAGATGCCTTCAGTTTCTTGGTTTTGTTTTTTTGGCATTTTGGAGGGTTTCTTACAAGGTGCTCTTTAACGGATCATAGAATTTCGTAAGAAGAGAGAACAATAATAGGAAGCCTGGTCCAGACAACAGTCTGAAGATGTCAAAGTGTGGAAGCTATCCAACCTGATCAGAGCCATCGCTCATTTTTCTTTTCTGGTCCTCCTCCTCCTCCTCCCCCTCCTCCCCCTCCTCCCCCTCCTCCTCCTCTCTGCCCCAACTTATTTATACTCATTTGAAATTCTGAACAACTTAGCCCCTAGAATGCTAACTTTGTCTAACCCTCCATGGTGCCCAAGAGGAGGGTGTGTGCAAGAACTGCTACCTCTGGTTAGTTTTGTCTTCACATTCAGGACCCAGAGGAGCCTCCAGTCCATAGGTAGGAGGTGGAGTAGGTCAACTTAAAAGAAGGAAATGTTTCAGACTCAGGTGACTTGGCCCAGTTGCTTCGGTCTTATGATGGTATAGTGTATAATGATGTGACTGTCTGATGTAGGTGTGTTTACCTCATGGGGCCAGGAAATGGAAAGGAAGAAAGAGGAAGGAGAGGAGCTAGGAAGGGGAAATAGCTTAACGTCCTCCCATGAGGTCCCACCTCCTGAAAGTTCCCTATCTCCCATAGCACCACGGGCTGGCTTTCAAGTCTTTCAGTGTATTGGCCTTAGGGGAACACCTAAGACCTGAATCACAATGAAGCCTAAGCCTGCTCAGATCAGGCATCCTTGGACCACAGTTTCTGCCCCACACCCGCTAACAGAGAGCACGTTCATCCCTCTCCCCGCCAGAGAACAACCCCTGGCTACAGTGTGCTCCTTTTATAAAGAGTTCTTTCCGACATGCTGCCTGCTCAAAGCATCTCATTCTGCCAGCCCTGTTGGGAGATCTGGGATGAGACATGTCAAACACAGAGCCGGAGTGGAACAGGATGGGGTGGGATGGGAGGCCCTTTTCATGCTTTCTGGAGGCTGTGAAGCCAGCCAGCTGCTCTTGGCTCACCATCCTGCCGTCTTGTGGCAGCTGAGACAAGGCATGCGTTGTCCTCCTTCCTCTCAGCCTCCGTTCTGAAAGCAGCACACACGGTGGCGTTGCCAGGGATCTTCATGTTCACATCTGGAGCTCGTCGTGGTCATTTCCACTCTCATGATGTCCACAGGGACCTTTGACAACTCTTCAGCCCTGCAGGAAGACCTCTTGCTTTCTTTTCTGTTTTCTGTCTACCTGTTTGTGGGAGTCCTCTGGGAATTCACACTGAGTGTGCTCTCCCTTCTCTTCAAGACTTGGTGCCTGGAGGATGGTTTCCTGTAGTGTTCTTTAAGATGGGCCCAAAGCCTTTTGCTCATCTTAGTTTCTTAGAAGGTCTCATGAGCTAGTGTTGACCATTGGCTGTATTCTTTCAGGGTCTCTCTGCTTCTACCCTGAACTCATACGCTATGATTCACACAATGGCCAGGTAGAATGTGGGGGAAACAATGTCAGCTCCCATTCCTTGTCCCGTTTGCAGCGGCTCCCCATCACAGCCTGCGGCAGAATGGATTCCTGTCCTCACTGTTGTAATCCTAATACCCTGCCACAGCCTCCTGGAAGCACTGTCCTACTTTCTGCCTCTTGACCTTGATGAGTCACTGATGTGCTTTGGTCTTGGGATGGGCGTGGTCTCTGACTTCTGTAGAAGATTGGCAGCTGCCCGTGCCATTGACTTGGCCCTCCTTACTTACTTGCCGCTATTGTGCAAACTGCTGTGCCTGCATTCTGCAGCTCAGGCCCCAGACCGAGACCATGAAGGGCAGCTGCCCTTCTTCACGCACCACCGGGCAGTGAGAAACACCAGGCTTCTCAGTGAGTGATGCTGAATATCTGTGGTTGCCATGCCGCCGCCGCCGCTGCCGATGGGGTGCAGAATCCCAAGCGCTCACCAGGGCCCCCCTCACGGTGTCCTCTCTAATGGCTTCTTTGGACACTCTTGCCTTTACTGGTTACATTATAGCAGCTGTTCCTGCCTGGGGGCTTTGTGGTAGTTGTGTCCTCTACTGTCTTTCCTTCTACTGGGTCACTGCTGGTGGTAAATTCAGTGAAACAAACTAAAGGGGACAGTGAGTCCCCCCAAGTGCAGAAGGACACTGTTAGACGGGGTGATCTGAGGGGAGACACCGCAGACAGCTGGATACAGTAGCTCACACATATCAGTCTGCGGGGAGGGAAGGGAGCCAGAGGCAAGCAGTGTCTGTTGCAAGCTCTCTGACTTTCCTCCTGAGTCGGTGGCTTTAGACACTCTCATCTCATCATCCAAAATGTCCCTTCTTCCTGCCTCATCCTGCCTGCTCCCTTGTCTTCTTAATTGGGGTCAATCTTTCCAAGTCTCTCAGCTCACGGGAGGAGGACAGTGTCTGCTGCAGCAGATGGCCCTATATTCTGATGACAACCTAGCTTTCCAGGTATTTCTTGAAAACCCTCTAGAGTTTATAGCCACCTAACAACACGAAAAGCTAGACTTAGAAAAAAAAATATTTAGAAAAAATTAAATAAATATTTTTACTCTGCTCTTCACATAAATATTCTGAAACTTTAACCTCATCATCATAATAATAGTAATAGTAAACTGAAAATTTGCTGGGTGTGACCAGTTGGCTGAGCACTGACTGTGAGGGGGTCCCCCGTTAGCCACTGGGTGATTGCGGGGATTTAATTGCCCTTTCTGAGATACAACGCAGTGAAGAGTGAGGTGGGCTAGAGCCTTTCTACACACACACACACACACACACACACACACACACACACACACACACACACACACACGGTCTGAGGAACTAATTAGACTGTGAGTACTCAGACTTCACCACAGACCTCCCAGCCATATTGCTGGGGAATGGTGTGCGCAGTCAGTTCCAGAAGAGCCGATCAAGTCCTTGTAGGTGTCCTTATGAAGATGTCACAGGTAAATTCCTGTGGCCAGTGCCAAGGCAAACTGCTCTGAGCATTTGATCTGCTTTGTCGCTCTGATAACACGGAGGATGTGGTGCACTTCCTCTTTTCTACTCAGCTTCTAAACCTTTACCTGATTTCAGACCCTGCCTAACGTAGCATCTCACACACAGGAAAAGAGAAATATTTAATATATGAATGAATGAACCTAGTCCCTGTTTTATTTGAAATGAAAGTATCCGAGCCATCTGAAATTGTCTGGTGTGCTCCGTGCTGTTGTTGGGGACGGAATCTGGAACTTTGTGCATGCTGGGCAAGTGTTCCATCACTGAGCTACACTCCCAGAGCTAGAATACTTGTTGCACACAAGCATTGTTGTGTAAAGATACAATGGCGTTAGGGTAGCAGACATTGTGGGGGAAATGGTGTTTGTGGCCAGAAGGCTTAGGAGTGCGGAATCCTGGGTACAATGGGTGTCTAGAAAAGGAGAGATGGCTTGAGGTCTCCAGCACTGAGGACGTGTCCCTAGTCTTCAGTGACTGCCTTTCATGCCACCAGAAGCGTTGCGCACGACACACTGACCCCTGTCTGTGAACTGCACCTTGCGCTATTTATTCTTCTGTACTAACAAGCCAAGCATGATGCAAAGTCAAGTGGACCTGGCTGGTTCCCGCAGCGGGTGGAGGGGTTGTGGCAATGGCTTCCTTTCTTCTCAGCCTTTAGACAGTTGGGCTTTGGGATTCTTGAGTCACTTTCTAGGAGGCAGAACATTCCAGATCCAACCTCTTCCACTTCAGCCTTCCATAGAGCCATGCCTCTTTACAGTGTATTGTGGAGAAGGGAATTGCTGAGCTGTCCAAGGCCATGTTTAGCTCTTGGTACTGTGAGGCAAGAGGGGCAGGACAGAGCTTTTTTTTTTTTTTTTTGTTTCCCCCATTTCAAGGTATCAGCACCTCTAGGAGAAGACTGGAAGACTTGGGAGTAAACTACCTCTCTATGACTTTCCAGAGGCTTGGAGGTGAGGCCCATGGCCAGTGCAGAATTATGACTGCCAGGCATGTGCTCATCTCCTCCTGTCCTATAAGGCTGCTACCTCTAAAAGGTCAGTGAAGGTGCTTACCTGTCACCTACGCTGGATGGAGACACAGCCACAGGAGTCACAATTATGCACACATGCACGAACACACACACACACACACACACTTATTTGTGTGTGTATAAGTATGCTGTACATGAATATGTATCATAGGTGCACATGTGTTTGAGTGTGGGTATAGGAGAATATACAGCCCCCCCATCCTGGAAACTAAAATGTTTTCAAAGCACATGCATATAAGACACCATAATACAGCTTTTCAATCATTCTTCTGTAAGAAAGTGGGGAATTGACTGAAGTCAAGGGCTGCCGTAGTTCAGAAGTCAGCTCTTTGTGTAAACGCAGCCCTGGGACTTAGACAGCAGATGGAGGGAATGTGGCACTTTCAAGGACTTGGCATCAACAGTATCAAAGAACAAACAGACACATTCTTCTAATTACCCCATTGGGAACACGACCGCACCTTCCTGGCTCACAGGGGACCCCTAAATCTGGAGGCCATTTCTTGCTATCTCCCCACACCTCAGATCAAAAAGTGGTACCCCAGAGTCCGTCACATGCCTCATCTCGGGCCACTGATGGGGTCTGTGTGAAATGAGCCCTGATTTGCCTTGTTGAGGGGTGGTTATTCTGGGATGTTGCTTAGCTGCTCTGCCCACTTCATCCATTCTGAGCTATTCCCTGGTCTCCATCCTTAGAGGCGGCAGCCAATTTGGAGTGCACAGATGTACACTCCCACTTCAGATTGCTTTTGCCAACATGTATTACCTTATGTTTATTTGAGTTAAGTTTCGTCTGCCTGCAGGCTGCACAATCCCCCAAAGTGTTCCGATGCACCTGGAATGTCTTGTGAATCTCCTTGGTTTTTTATTAGCCACAACAGTTTGGAGGTAGTTGAAATCTCTGGGAAGAGATTAGACAGTCATTGCCAGTTGCTCATGTAATGTCTGACCAGGTAACTGAGGCAGGACTTGCTTGGGAAAGGCAGGATAGCATTTCTCTCATCTTTTGAACTCTCAGCTCTGGACAGGTGCCCAGAAGCGCATCCTTGGGGTGTATGTCTACACAGGTCCATGTGACTTGCAGGCCTTAGGAGACACTTGTTCTGGGAGCCAAGGGGAAATGTGTTACTTAAGGCCCATTCTGTCTGCCTCCCTTGGATATTGCCGAAAGAAGGGACAGAAGAGAGAGTGAACTGGTGTGGGCAAGGAAGCTTGCTAAGTAGCTTGCTATGGTAGGACCTGTAAAATCGCAGGTGATTGATTAGTCCTGGGCAGGCAGAAGGACAGAGGTGTGACTCCTAGGACTCCTCTGGAGAGTCTGAGAAATCACCTTGGCCATACATATCCTGAAAGCTGGGAGTGAGGAATAGGTAAGGCTGGAAGCCATTGTCCTCAAGACCAGGTAAGACAGCAGGGCCCAATTCCAAGTGCCAGGATGGGAGAGATGAAGTGAGCTGCTGCTCGTGGCCAGCAGTCTCTGTGAACATGGCTGGTGTGTGGGCAGAAGCTTAGGCTGAACGGATCCCAGAGTGTTCCAGCGAGCTAATCTTGTCAGCCTCAAGCTGTTCCACAGACAGTGGGTGTGAATCCAGAACCATTTTAGATGTTCAGCTCTGTAATGTTCCTTTTAAGAAAATAAGAAAGATATCAAAGGTATACCAGACCCAAATGATTCCATCATCCTGGGGCCAGTTACCCAGGAAGGTTGGACTTAGGAGCTGTGCAATGCAAGTATGAGGATGTTAGAGAAGATGGTGTGTGTGTGTGTGTGTGTGTGTGTGTGTGTGTGTGTGTGTGTGTGTGCACATTCCTGGACAAGCGTCTTTCTGCCTCAAGGATACTGTCTGCTTCTGTCCCATGTTTAGAAGCAGAGGTCAGGGGCATCCAGCCTCCAGTCCTGGGCAACTCTTCCCTCCTGTTGTCTCTGCCGCCATGATGGGTTGACTGGGTCTGCTTAAGCAGTGCGCACGCAGAAACCAAAGCTCGAGGAAGGAGCACCCCTAAGAGAAGAGTGCAATCCTGACTCCGCCTCCTGACTTCTCATGAATCCCCACGCCACCAGAAATCTGCTATCCCTCTGTCCTTCTTTGTCTTCCCAAGGCTGCAGGGAAGACTGGATATTGAAGAGGAGAAATGCAAACCGCCATGAAGGGAATCACATGGAGCTGTAGTCCGGTAGCCTTGGGTCTGGATCAACCAGAGGGGATCCAGAAGGGAATGTCAAGCCACACTTGGAAGGGGAGTCAGGTCACGCAGATTCATGGCAGCAGCCCCACCCCCTTGTGAGTAATGAGTGGCTGTCTCGGTTTATGAGGGCACTGTAAGAACACATCGCAGATCGTGTGGTCTAAACCTTAGGGATTCACTCACAGTCGTGAAGGCCCAAAGGGACAGAAGAAGTGTTGGCAGTGTTGCTACCTCCCGAGGGCTGTAAAGGACGGCTCTGTTTTAGGCCTCTCTCCTTGGCCTGTAGATAGCTGTCTTCTTGAGTTTCCACATGGTCTGTACACGTCTGAGTCCAAACTTCTTCTTGATATGAGGACATCATTCAAATAGGATTAGGGACTACTTACTCTAAGGACCCCATGCTAGTTAGTGTGTGTGTGTGCGTGTGCGTGTGCGTGTGCGTGTGCGTGTGCGTGTGCGTGTGCGTGTGTGTGTGTGTGTGTGTGTGTAGGTAATACAGACAAATCAACTTCTGGTTGTTTCTTCCATTGCTCGCCAGTCTCCACAGACAATTCAGAGTGCACTTGCGTACATCAATAGCAGACCTCTCCCCCCCATCCTCCCTGCTCCCTGCATCCTTTGCAATTGTTCCT